GTCTACACAACCTGCTTCAATATTTCTATACTGTTTTTACACTTTGCTCTCACCAGGGCTGCCACCTATTCTCAAACAAAAAACTGGCCCTTCTACGAGGGAAAGAGGGAGGGCCGAGGATACCAGGAGATTAATGTCCGACAATAGACACCATGTCAGGTCTTTGGCATACAGTGCCATTTCAAAATAACATTGCTTTCTTTGAGTCAAATAAACCTGATATAAACGCAAAAATGGCTCACTGAGCTAACCTACTAGTCAAATCGCTGGCATAAAAATACCCATGGTTAGAACAATGCTTTGTTCTCTAACTTAAAAAAGAAAAATTGGGGGACCCTTAAGGTTCGCTTTTAAGAATTGAACACGATAACGATACCGTGGCCCGAGTGCGTACTTCAAGCACTTGTTGCATGAAATGTTTTCGAACTTAGTATGCACTCACTATGTGGTCTGAAGGAAATGTGTGCAGCGAAATGTGTGCATTTTGTTATGGCTGGCCACCTTTTAACTATGAAGTCCTTAAGACAATCACATGTTCTGATGCCTGATTACAGTACACACTTGTATAAAAAATATTATTGCGATATTACATATTGAATTGTGAAGGCAGTATAGAGGACAGATGTGTTTGCAAAGCCTAATGTTACTTTCACTGCATTTTCAAGGAGATTAAGTTATTTTTCCTGAATTTCCAAGCAGATGTGCGGCTGTGCAGTAGAACGCCTCCTTACCATGCAAACGGCCTGGGCTCGATCTTCCCGCAACTTGGGAAATTTTTATTACTTATTTTATTTGCGATGAGCTCATTGAGGTACAGCGTACGGCGCAATATGAACGTCTCTCTAAAACACGAGCAGGAAGACATATTCTAGAGCGACTAGGCATAACGTATCACACGCAACATGGCCTCAAGGTGGACATCCCAAAAGAGACCAGGGAAACCATAATGATACCCCCCTTGCCAAAAAACATGCACCCCGAACACACTAAGGCCAGACGAGAGACAAGAGCAAAACAAATACAAAAAAAGTTCGGTAATGACAAGGACGCAGTTTTTGTAGACGCTGCTCAATACAAGCGCAGACGGGGGTTTACCGCAGCCGTAATCGATAACAACAAACGCTGTACGACATGCGCGACGATACGCACCACAAGTACCGAGACAGCGGAAGAGGTAGCCATAGCGCTCGCTGTAGCTCAGACAAACGCAACCGTGATAGTCAGTGACTCTCAAACGACAGTGAGAAACTTTGCCAACGGCCGCATCTTCCCGGAGGCACTACGTATTCAACGAGGAGGGTATCGAACAAGCCCCAGAAATACATACATTATATGGACACCTGTTCATGCCATCTTGGGAGATAGCAACAACGGGGCTGTACATGAGGCAGCTCGAGGGCTCACCGACCGAGCTGCCCTCTCAAGTGCCGCCCCAGCCTCCTCCGGTGATTACGGCACGGCAGACGAGTGGGAGTGGGAGGACAGAATGACCAGATATAATGAAATTACAAAAAATTATAGATTACAGAGGGGCATATTCCCGCTCCCTCACCCAAAATTAACAAAAAGACAGTCTGTCAAATGGCGGCAGTTACAAACTAGGACGTATCCGAATCTTGCACTATTGCACATTATATATCCTGATATATACAAAACAAATAGGTGCAAGCTTTGTGACTCCAGAGCCACTCTAGAGCATATGTTATGGGAATGTAGAGGGATTAGTACTCATAACAAGTGCCACGAACTGTTGGCCACCGCTAAACAAGCGCTGCCAGTCTACGCTTGCGCGCGCCTTCTATCTTATCTCGCTCTTCCCCTTCCCTTATCTTTCATTCTTATAAAAACCCAAGCCGGACAATAAACACTCTCTTTTTGCCCTGGCCACTCTGTTCGTGCATTTCGGGGCGCGGCCCAGCCGCGGGGCCGGTTGTAACAGTGGCGACGAGTATTTCAACAAAGAACGAGACCCAGCTGCCTTCCTGAAGGCGGGCAAGCAGCCACCCCATCGACAGGCATGAGTCACCGCCTCCCGGAATTCAACGACGACACAGATAAGTGGCAAGCGTACCTCGTGAAGGTTGAGGCATATTTTGAAGCAAACGAAGTCACTGACGATGCCAGGAAAAGAGCCCTGTTGGTAGCCGCACTAGGGTCGCGAACGATTGATGTGCTATGTGGTAGAGTGGCACCGCAGAAGCCAAACGGCACTCGGCTACGATGCGGTAGTGAAAGTTCTAAGCGAGTATTATGACCCACGACCAAACGAAATTTCAGAAAGCTTCAAGTTTTTCCAGCGAAACCAGCAGGAAGGAGAGTCTGTTCACGCATTCATTGTGGAAATACGGCGCCTAGCGCATAACTGCAACTTCTCGTCCATGCTGGATAGGATGTTAAGGGACCGTATCGTGTGCGGGGTACGTTCAAGAAATTTGCAAAAGCAGCTGCTCGCGAAACCTGAGTTGACGTTACAAGAAGCAGAGGCACTTGCGTTGGCGGCAGAAAGTGCAGAGTTAGATGTGGAGAACATAAATCGAGAAACGCCCCCAGTAACAGTGTCGGCAATGAAGGAGCAACGCTGGGTGCCGCGAGGCCAGAAGAAAAACGAAGGCGGAAAGCCATGCGAGTGCTGCGGAAAGCGTAATCATAAGCGCGCGACCTGTTCAATGCGTGGGAGGCACTGTTACAAATGTGGAAAAAGAGGACACTTGGCATGCATGTGCCAAAGGATCGACAACGCGTTGAATGTAACAGCCCAAGGCAACGACAGTGATAGCAGCACGTCGCAACTTTGGTCCGTAACTTCGAAGAATTCATTGGTGCCACCGATTCAGGACACGTTCACGTGGAACGGCGTAAAGCTGAAGATGGACGTTGATACCGGCTCGCCCATATGCGTCATTCCTAGAGCAACCTACAAAGCCCACCGTCATCAATAGCCGACGTTGCAGGAGCCGAATATAAAGCTGGCGTGCTATTTGGGGAAGCTACCCGTACTCGGAGTACTGTCAATGCGTGTATGCCACAAATCGGCGGAGGTTGATTGTAACCTAATCGTCTTGGACTGCGAAGGTCCTCTCCTGTGCGGTCGTGATTTGCTGCAGAAACTACAAGAGCAGGGCGCAGCAGTACTCCACGTAGCTGTGCCGCCACTCGGGTCGAGCTCGGAGTCTCCGCCCGCGCCTGCTGTGTTGGACCGCTACTCCGACCAGTGCACGGAGGGCGTAGGACTCATGAAAGGCCCACCGGTGCGCCTTCACATCAAGCCTGGAGTGACGCCAAAGTTCCTCGAGGCAAGAAAGGTACCCTACGCTCTGTTGGATAAAGTTTCAGGGGCATTAGATCGACTCGTGGCAGCTGGTATTACATCACCAGTGACACACTCGGAATGGGCTACGCCCATTGTTCCAGTCTTAAAGAAAGACGGCACAGTTCGCATTTGCGGTGACTTCAAGATTACTTTGAACTTAGTTTGCGAGCTGGAACAATACCCGCGGCCTCTTATCGAGGATATTTTTGCGCAATTAGGTGGGGGGGGGGAGCGGTTCAGCATTTTGTATTTGCGCGACGCCTACAACCAGATCCCGCTAGACGAAGAGTCTCGCAAATTGGCCGTGATGAACACCCACAAAGGCCTCTTTTGCTTCAACCGCCTCCCGTTTGGGATTGCTTCGGCACCGGCAATATTTCAAAGGCGGATTGAATCAATCCTACAGGGCTTGCCTGGGGTGCAAGCGTACCTAGATGACGTGTTGATAGCAGAAGAGGGTCACAGCCAAAACCGCAATCTGTTGGATGTGCTCGAGCGCTGCCGTGAACATGGCAATAAGCTTCGTGCTGATAAGTGCCGCGTTAGCGAGCACTCTGTTACATATCTAGGTTACCGTATTGACGCGAACGGACTGCATCCCATGGAAAAGAACGTGGATGCTATCAGGCTAGCCCCCTCGCCACAGAACGTCTGCGAGCAACAGCTCATTTCTGGGCACGGTAACCTTTTATAACAAGTTTATGCCCGACTTGTCTACCATTCTAGCACCGTTGTACAAACTGCTGGAAAAGGGCGCTAAGTGGACGTGGAGCACCAAAGAAAAGAAAGCCTTTGTCCAGGTGAAAAATGCGTTGTGCGCGGCACCCGTACTCACTCATTTTGACCCAAACCGTGAGCTCTTCTTGGAGTGTGATGCGTCCCCATACGGAGTTGGTGCTGCACTTTTTCATCACACCGAAGGCGAGAAGCGACCCGTAGGCTTTCAATCGAGAACGCTGACAACTGCCAAAAGAAAGTACTCTCAGATCGAGCGCGAGGCGTCAGCCTTGATATTTGGTGTTACTAGGTTTAGGGACTACCTGTTGGGGCGAGAGTTCACTCTGGTTACGGATCACCAGCCGTTGCTGGGCCTGTTAAGGCACGACCGTCAGACCCCCGTCATGGCGGCAGCCAGAATACAAAGATGGGCGCTACTACTTGGTGCATACAAGTATAAACTGCAGTACAAGCCGGGAAAATTTATGCTCAACGCGGATGCATTAAGCCGGTTACCCCAATCTCTTGAACAAAAGCTGCAGGATGACGAGGATGCGGCCGAGTACGTCCTCGTCGTGGACCAGTGGGACGAGCCAGCGGTGCCCATGAAAGAGCTTCAAGCCCTCACGCAGTCAGACGGCGTACTGTCAAGTGTGTGCAGGTACGTCATCCAAGGTTGGCCACAACGCACTGCGGAGAAAGGCACAGAGATGCGGGAGTATCACAAAAGGCGGAACGAGCTGTTCCGTGCAGCATAACTTGCTTCACTGGGGTCATCGTGTTGTGGTTCCGGCGGAAGCCAAGAAGAAGCTACTGAAGTTATTACATGGAGCTCATCAAGGAGTTTCTGCAATGAAGGCAGTTCCACGGTTAAAATTTTGGAGGCCTGGCTTGGACCACGATATTGAGCGCTTAGCCGCTGTGTGTCAGCACTGTGTAAATTGCCCATGCCAACGCACTGCGTACGTTGCCCATGCCACCCGCGCAAGCACCCATTCGCTGGCCAGAGACGCAGGAAAGATGGTTGCGACTGCATGTCGACTTCACGGGTCCGATCCAAAACAAGATGCTTCTTGTCGTCGTGGACTCTTACAGTAAATGGACTGAGGCCATTCCCCTGGCTCACGCGACCTCGCGCAACACAGTCGATGCCCTGCGAACGCTGTTCAGTAGATTCGGTCTGCCACACACGGTAGTGTCTGATAATGGCACGCCATTCACCGGATCGGAGTTCAACGAGTTCTTGCAACAGAACGGGGTAGTTCACGTGCGGGCACCCCCCTACCATTTACAGAGTAATGGACTCGCCGAACGTGCGGTGCGAACCATCAAAGACGGACTAAAGAAGTGTGGGGACGCCAACTTGTCAAAGACGCTGGATAGAACACTGTGCCGCTATAGAAACACGCCGCTTCCGTCCGGGCGCTCACCATCAGAAATGTTGTTGGGTTATCAGCTCCGCACCCGATTAGACATGTGTTTTCCTCCCAGGAGCCAAGCAACAGGGGATGTCCACTCTGCTGACAGCGCCGGGCGGAACTTCGCACCGGGAGATCCTGTGTACCTTCGCAATTACGGCCGTGGTGACAAGTGGACACCTTGGAAGGTCCGGTCAACCTCTGGTGCACGCATCGTGTCTTTCGGCACGGAGAACGGGCTTGTTCACTGGCACATGGACCAGTTCAGGCGGAGAAGCATCGAAGCACCGTCGAGTCCAGAGGCTCTCACTAGCCCCCAGATAAGCCCGGACCCTCCAGTACAAGACTGCGAAGCTCCAACGGCTACTGGCCCCGGTCTTCCGGGCCACCCGCCCCCAGAGCTAAGACGTTCCACACGTATCAAGAAGCCAGTGGAGCGTTATGGATTCTAAGGAAGATGGAATGCCACGAACTGTTGGCCACCGCTAAACAAGCGCTGCCAGTCTACGCTGTGCGCGCCTTCTATCTTATCTCCCTCTTCCCCTTCCCTTACCTTTCGTTCTTATAAAAACCCAAGCCGGACAATAAACGCTCTCTTTTTGCCCTGGCCACTCTGTTCGTGCATTTCGGGGCGCGGCCCAGCCGCGGAGCAAGTTGTAACAACAAGTATGCGGCCTCTGCTGACAGCCTTCGCGCGCGCTTGGAAGCCGCAATGCTCAGCTCCACCCTCGAAGACCAAATGTGGGCCCTCCAGCGGGCCGAGGAAGCCGCCAGGATTCAATAACTCCTGGCCGTAACCTAGGCAGGGCCAATCGCCCACCCCATCTACTCGCCGGACTCTGAATAAAGTTCTTTCCTCCTCCTCCTCCTTATTTTATTTGCATCTTTCTTGATTTTCCGGTTGCCCACAAGGTTCATCACTCACAATCAACGATGCCCACGAGATTTTTAAAACGATCGCGTTAAAGCTAGCATAAAAGGGTAACAATGTATGACTGATTGAATAAGCTTTTACAGCTTATGCCAAATCACATTGGTGTGATGTTGAAATCCCTAGGTCCATTGTTAGACTACCAAATGTCATGGCTTTCACTTTTATGTCTGTTTATGGGTACAGCAATTAACTGGCCAGAAAGAATAAATAGATCTTTATTTATTTGGAAACATGCAGAAGTGTGATAAAATCAAGCTCCCTTTCCCTTGAGTAATTTGAGTTGTATATGTATTTTGAAATGGTGTTTGAAAATCACAGCAGCTGTGACATCGCACCGCTTCGTGGCGAAAGCTTAGTATCGAGTTCTGGAGAATTTCTGCCCGTTGCCTGCTGCAACTCAGACAATTGTTAATCTGGCTTATAACTATATAGTATATATATTGCATTCTCACTTTCAATTTTGCTTATTATGCAGTTTAACTTACCCTTCGTGGGTTCATCGACATCTTTCACATATTAACAGAAATTTGAAGAACTTCATGCCTAAAAATAGTGTGACACAATCTTCACCAGAATATGGCCATCAGTTTATGAGAAAAAAGTGGGACACATATGGCTCATCGACCCATGAAGCATCTTTGAATAAGTGCGGCAACACCTGTCACATTGTCTCATAAGGGCACTGTAATTCATACAGTGTCTCATAAGCTGTAATTATGCTGCAAAGTTTCTTGCCCAAAAAGGCCCAATGGAAGCAGTACCGAGAAAACACTTCTAAAACTGTGGGAAAAAATTGCAGTGAACCTTAATTTCAGATGTTCTACACAATTCTGCACCTCTGCCTGTGGCATTGAGTCTAGCGGCTCTGTCCCAAGGTCTTCATATACACAAACCCTTTCAGCTTGTGTCTGTCTTGCCGGTAGGTGTACATAATATTGAAACTCGACGAAGACAAGGAGAAAACAGCAGGCATAGAAGAGTGCACGCATTCATATGAAAATAAATATAAAGGAGAATATCGCTTTTCATACACATTCAACGAAGCTGTGTCTATGCATGTCTTGTCTTGTATCTGCAACGGATAAGGGCGAACATTTCAGTTAAGCCTGCATTTTCGCACATAATTAAAATTGTGGTAATGAATTATGGCAAGCCACTTCGACGTGGTGTCAATTCACTGAATGCTGTAAGTGCGTTCACAAATGCTGCATCATATTCGTGAACTCCATTCAGCTGTGACATATTTGCTTTTCTCATATATCTTGCATGATTTGATGATCATGAATATTCGTGTTCTCTTTGGCTTCCTGGCTGTATGAAGCAGCAATTTTGCCATAATTTTTCTTTGGCCCGAAATTTTAGCAACAATGTCTTAGCCACAGCTTTTGGTCTCATTGCTTCTCCTCTTGATGGTAAAAAATTTAAAAGAATGTGCTGTTTTGTGACATCCATCAAACCTGAAAAAACAGTTATGCATGTATGCAATGTTATTAGGCTATGCAAGGAACTGTTCATTTTTCATTCGAGTGCACTTCCACAATGATTTTAGGCAGATATAATTTTGCAATTTAGAAAGAAAATCTATAGTTGCACGCTAAAATTCTCTAAAAATTCTGAACAGAAGATTACCATAAATTTGAAACTTTAGCTACCTGGTACGCAATATGGCACCGGCTGAAAAAATATTAACAGAACAAAATGATTTTAAGCTCCACGTATCACTGATACCACGCATTGTAAACGTGCAATATATGGTTTCTCAGTTTCCTTATTGTTTCTGGTACACCACAGCTGGAAGGCATTGTGCTGATGGCAACGTAAAGTGGGAGAGTAAGTTTTACTAAGGAAAAAGTGGGACGCATTCATCCTATTAACCCTCAAAAGGTTAAGAAATTGATGCTCAGCAGTGGAGCTTCCTCCACAGCAACAAAAAACCTGCATTGAACCACAGTGCATGCACACACCATCTCTCCAGCAGTTCGCTCATGCACTGTGTCATGGCGGAATTCGGTACCAATGCAGTGAACAGCTGTAGGCCACTGTTTGCAACATGCGTTGTATATAAGACTCCATCAGCAACAACGGTTGGTGAAAACTGTTTCATTGCCTTTTTTGTGTTGCCAATGCATGATTAGACACTCTGAATTACGAGCTTTCCAGTGACATAAAAAAATGTACATTACAAAATTGGTTGGCAGTAGGAAATAATCAAGCCTTCGAAATCCAAAGAATCGTTAAGAAAGGTTAAGTATCCATTGGTACAAGCAGATTCCTGGAGCTAAGTAGCCAGCTGCGCTACACAACTTCTCAAGTCTTTTCTTATAATGTGCCAGGGCGGATGCTGTGTATTATACTGTTGCACAAGTTTTCCTTTTTTCTGGTGTACTTAACATTTTAAAACATTAGTAAACTGTTAAAACTTATACAGTTTTGCAAATTATGACTGTTGATTCAAACACAAAAAATTAAATTTGGAGTGTTAAATCACTGAATATTTCTACAAAACGAATCACACTTGTCTAAAACACCCAGCCGATCACTCAAGTTGTTTTCTGCAGAAATATGTTAATGCCGGCGCCGTATGAATATTTAACATGGCATAGGGCGTGCTAGGCCTTTGTGCGATAATTTAAGCATGAACAGAAGCATGTACCTAAGGTGACATAGAAGCCGTCGCTAACAAGAGCCATGCGCTCCTACTGCTCTGGGCAAGTGTGATTCCACCTGTACAGCTGCAGTGTTGGCATTTTTCGGTGCATGAAATTCTCTATGTTCACATTACATGTGGTCCACGATATAAAAACTTGGAAATAAAAAGAATAACAAATAAAACCTTCTAAGTCGGAGTGAGATTAGAAGCCAAGCTGCTTGTGTGGCAAGCAGGCGTCCTACCACAAAGCCACGTGCCTACTCAAAAATAATTTTGATGCTTTACAAAATAATACTTTAATTTAGTTAATTAATTTTCATGTTTTTTCTCGAGGATTACTTGCAGGAGTTTTCACTGCGTTCTGTGGACACTAATTGGGAATTGTTTAAGGGCATTGTTGAGCGTCTTATTGACGCTTTTGTGCCGCTGAAATCTTGAGGTGTGAGAGGGAATCACCCATTTGAAAAGACTGTCCAATGAAAAGAAAGGTTTGTTTCGCTCTGCAAAGGTCATGAATTCCGAGGTGCGATGGGAATCCTATTTTGTGGCTGCTCAGTACAAAGCCACATTAAAGAGCTCTAAGGACACGTTCAACAACCATACTTTGCCCGCTATGCTGATTAACAATCCTAAACAATTTTGAATGTAATAAACAAGAAATACACCACCACATTGTTACTTACATCTACTGAAGATGTTGCAATCTCGTCACACGAATGTGCTTCTGTTCTCAACATTGTTTTTGCGGCAGCTTTTTCTAACGATGTTTCTCGCGATAATTTTAACTACCCTGATTTTGAAGTTTCTCCTATGCACCCAGTTATATTTGACGTATCTGGGATTCAGGAGATTATAAAAAGTCATAAAATTTCTTCTTCTTGTGGCATTGACAACATTATTTCAAAATTTTTGATTAATACAAAGTTGTATTGTTTCATAATTCTTAATAAACTGTTTGAACAATCCCTTGAAACAGGTTGTATTCCCAATGATTGGAAAGTTGGGAGGGCGATTCCTCTGCACAAGTCTGGAAATAAACATTGCCCAGACAACTTTCGTCCCATTTCTCTCGCTAGTATACCTTGTAAAATCATGGAGCACGTCATATACTCTCATCTCGTCTTTTTCTCAGAATCGGATTCTTTCTTTACCATAGCTCAGCACGGATTCCGTAAGTTCTTTTAATGCGAAAACCAACTCATATGTTTCACGCATGAACTTCATTGCATTCTCAATCACGGATGTCAGGCAGACTGTATATATTTGTTTTTTTCAAAAGCCTTTGACAAAGTCTCGCATGAACTTTTATTTCTTAAACTACGTAATCTTAACATTGAATTCGCATCAGTTCGTGAGAAGACCTCCATTTTTAGCCTTTCTTTGAGTAATAAAAGCAGCTAGAAATCCAATGTGATGTGAGCAATTTTGCACTCGGAGCAGCTCTTCTTTGAAATGGAAAGCAAGTCTCTTTCGTCAGCAGAGCACAGACAACAATGGAAGTTTGTAATGCACAAAGAGAAAAGGATATTCTGGTCATTGTCTTTGCCTTAAAAAAGTTTTGTCTGTATACATTCGGAAAAGAAACAAGGATGTTAAGCAGCTGTAAGCCACTGAAGCAACCAATCCTGAAGAAACGATTGGATCAAGTTCAAAGATGACTAGAAAGCATGATTCTTCAGATGCAAAGACACAACATTGCAATAGAAAACAGACCAGGAAAAGCATTAGTCTTGGCTGACATGATATCTAGGGCTTTCATTCCCAATGAAAGCAATGAAGAGGTACTTGAGAACATCCATGCCATTCAATACGTCCCTGTGAGAAAGAGAACGTTGAAAAGATAAAAGCTGTGACTGAGTGTGATGAAT